CCTCCTTTCTTAACGCTCTGTACTTCATCCTTGGGTAAAGTCTCTCCTTTTGATCTTAAATGGTTGACTACTCTGCAGTGGCAGTGAATGATTTAATGTGGATCTTCTTGCCAAATTCCCACCAACCACATTTTCCTGTGCAGGTTTGGTAAGAAGGTGGGGACAATACTGACAGGGTTCACCTGTGAGTGATTGTCACAGGATACCCTGGACTGCCTTCCTGCTGTGTGTGACAGGATCCCTTTCAGAAGCAGGATGAGGGCTCTCATTACCAGCAAGAGCCAGGAGTGGAGCAAGTGCTCTGAACTTGAGATCCCTGCACAGTGAACCCCCTGGATTGGGAAGACAGCTATGCCATTGGAAGAGCAGGAGCCAGAGCAAGGAACAGAGTGATGGACTTCCCAGCCCATGGAACAAGGAAAGCTGAGTGCTTTTGTGCAGGAGGCTGCCTTGCAGAGTGGGGTTCCTCTGGGCACTTAATTCAGGGAGCAGGGCTTGTTGACCACAGAGCTTGAGTCAAATGCCTTCCAGTTGCGGTTTACATTGGATTGGCACGGCCCCTTTGGGTATTTATTAGCAGCCTTGAAAGAAGCGTGCAATGTGTCCTGATATACAACTCAACCCTTAGCATTTCTCACTGGCATTACAACTTAATTTCCTTAATAAACTCTGTAATCATGAATTTTGTCTATGAGTTCTGTGTAGCCATTGCAATGGATATTAGAAGTTAGAGATCAAGTAGAGAATACTAGTAAAAATGTCACATATTCTAACATGGGGGAGACCTGCAGGATAACTAAGAGCCATAGTCTTGGGGTTCCACAAGTCTCCATCTGACCAGTAAGTCTAGTCTCTTTTATGACTTAGGTTTTTGCCAGAAGAAGCCAGCTCCTAGCACAATCACTACGGGTTTGGTAGGCGCAATTGTACAGCGATAATAAGTAAATATTATAGTAAAGTTATAGAGAGCATGAGAGATAAAAGAGATATATAGAAATAAATGGAGTCAGACACAT